AGGCCATGAGGGCCAGGAGGTAGCAGTCAATGGACGCAAAGAAGGTGAACAGAAAGAACTGGGCTGCACAGCGAGCTTGAGAGATGACTGTGCCGTGTTCCCACAGCATGGCCAGCATCTGAGGGACGATGACAGAGGAATAGCAGATGTCTACGAAGGACAGGTGGCTGAGGAAGAAGTACATCGGGGTGTGGAGCCGGCGATCTTTGCGGATCAGGATGACCATTCCTGCGTTCCCCAGCAGAGTGGCAAGATAGAAACTCAAAAACATCAGGAAGAGTGGAAGCCTCCACTGGGGACGCTCAGTGAATGCAATAAGGAAAAACTCAGTCACCACAGTGTGATTCCTCATGGCCGTCCATCCAGCGATTCACCTGTGGGGGCCAAGATAAGAGTCAGGGGAGGGACCCTTCAGGATAAGTTCGAGTCATTTCAANACAGAAAATGAAGTTGATCTCATTGTTTCCACAAAAGGAGAGACTGAAGGCTGTGACTGTTTGAACAAAGGCACTGGAAAAACCAGCAACATAAACCCCAGATACTAAGCCCAGGCGGGCCTTCTCGGTCATGATGGTGACATAAAGCAGGGGTTGGCACATGGCCACGTAGCGGTCGTAGGCCATGAGGGCCAGGAGGTAGCAGTCAATGGACGCAAAGAAGGTGAACAGAAAGAACTGAGCTGCATGGCGAGCTTGTGAGATGACTGTTCCATGTTTCCACAGCATGGCCAGCATCTGAGGGACGATGACAGAGGAATAGCAGATATCTACGAAGGACAGGTGGCTGAGGAAGAAGTACATCGGGGTGTGAAGCCGGCGATCTTTGTAGATCAGGATGACCATTCCTGCATTCCCCAGCAGAGTGGCAAGATAGAAACTCAAAAATACCAGGAAGAGTGGAAACCTCCACTGGGGACGCTCAGTGAATGCAATAAGGAAAAACTCAGTCACCACAGTATGATTCCTCATGGCCGTCCATCCAGCGATTCACCTGTGGGGGCCAAAACAAGAGTCTTGGAGGGAGGGATCCTTCAGGATAAGTTCGAGTCATTTCAAGTAAAAAAGCTTTAAAATGAGTGACAATTAGGCACTTGACTTCAATAAACTTTGCAGCCTAAGGTANTGTGGGGGCCAAGATAAGAGTCAGGGGAGGGACCCTTCAGGATAAGTTCGAGTCATTTCAATTAATAAAGCTTTAAAATGAGTGACAATTAGGCACTTGACTTCAACAAACTTGCAGCCTAAGGTAGATATAGACAAATAAGAGCTCACTATAAGAAGATAAAAAGTGATGAACGCTTCTATTATGGTAAGAAAGAACAGAGAGTAAGTGATTTGACTTATGAGTCAGCTTTTGTATTTGCAACTCTGTCCCCAATTAGCTGTTTGATCTCACACAAGGTACTTAACCTCCCTGAATCTCAATTTCCTCCTCTGCCCAAAGGGGACTGTAATATCTGCACTGCTTATGAGATAAGGTTAATGCATAGATTAAAACAGACACAAAAGCATACTGGAAGGCTAAAAGCACTCCACATATATACGGTGGCTATTTAAATTTTTAAATGAGTGTTTTAAGGAAGGAAAATTTATATTCTAGGAACAAAAGAGCATGAATTTTAAAAAAATCCATTAGCAATCAGCAATAGGCTCTGCTTGTAGAAATATTTATATCATCAGTCAGTCTAACAACATGCATGTTTAACAAG